AGGGCAGGGGCTGGTGATGCAGGTGGGGACCTCCAGCCTGGGGAGCTGACTCGCCGTTCCTCTGCTTTTTCTGGAGCTGGGGCACCTGCATGATGTGCTGGTCCGGCCTGACCACCTGGAGCTGACGGCTGAGTGCCAGGAGATCACCCAGGTGGATGTGGAGAGCCTGGCACTGGCTCCACCGCTGGAGCAGGCATTGAGACAGGTGACACCCCGTAACAAGGTGCTGGTGTCCCTTGGGTGCTCCCTGGTAGAGTAGAAGCAGCATTATTATCCGTTTGTCCCTTCTACCATCACTGTTGGGGACAGTGGAGCCTGGCACAGGGTCACTGCAGACATGTGGACCAGGCAGCTTGGTCTGTGGTGGGCTTTGTGGAGGTTTCTGTCTTGCCTTTTGCTCGTTTGCCTTGAGAGGTGCTGAAACTCGAGAGAGGAACATCAGGGTCAGGTGTTCCCTTACCCCGGTCTTCTGCTATGCTGGACCCTGAGTTTCAGCTGAAGGTGGACCCCAATCAGTGTGGGAGGAGGCCAAGTTTAGGTGCCCCCTGAAAAGCCTGGGTGATGGCAGGCCCTGTTAAGGCTTGTAGCTCATGAGTCCTGGGAAGGAGACAGAACTGAAGTGTCTAGCGAAATTGACGATAAGGCTAAAAGGCTGTCTCCTTTCCAACATGCTTGAGTGCCCTGTCTGGAAGGCTCTTCTGCCCCAGCACTCCCTCAGCTCTCTGCAACCAGCTTTACATCTCCTTGCAGTATTCCTGCAAATGCTCCTGGAAAAGGACTTTTTTCTGTGATGTGGACCATATGTGTGGCCACATCTCATTAGAAAGGGGGAAAAGGGGCAGTTTCCTTGTTAAGATAATTATCATGAAAGTTATCATGTGCTTAGCTAGTAAGAATCAAATCTACAGAAGTGAAGGACTAGGCTCAAACAAAAAGGAATTCCAGCTCTATGTTCCTGCTGCCTAGGAATAACATGTTACCAACTGATGACGCTGCCTAGTGCAGCCACTCTGTTATCTTTTACATGTGTGTCTTTTTCTGTTCCTGCTTTCAGTTTAATCAGTCCGTGAGCAATGAGCTGAACATTGGTGTAGGTACTTCCTTCTGTTTCTGTACTGATGGACAGTTGCATATTAGGCAGGTTCTGCATCCTGAAGCTTCCAAAAAGGTATGTAGTTGTTAAGTTTGACTCTTAGTGTGCTTTATATGACTTCTTGCAAAACCGATCAACTTCTCTGTAGTGTGAGGGTGCCTCCACACAACCATAGTACAAACATTGCTGGTATGTTAATGCACTTACCTGACTAAAAACCTGTCTGTGTGAAGGCATAGACAATGCCCTGCACTTACATAGCCCTGAGATGACTTTTTAAGTTAAAGCAGAAGAAATTTTTTTTTTTGAGTTAAGTCTTTGAGAAAAGAACAGTGTATTGACAGCATACTTGTAGCTCCTACAACTGTAGGAGCTACAATGGGTTAACAAGTGGGAATTTGGAAATGTTGCCAAATAGTTAACCACCTTAATCATAAACTGTCTTTTGAAATTTTGCATTCACCTTTAGGTTCAGCAACTTTCAACCTGTGTGTAGTCGGTTGACGCTCTAGGGCGGTGCTCACATTTGTAAGGAGCTGAACAGTAGTTTCAGGCAGGCTATGAGCCATGACTAGTCCCATAGTCTATAGAGTTTTCTGTAACTTCAGAGTTGCCAAATCACTAGCAGTGTCATGAGATCCTGCCTACTTTTCATTAGTGATAGAGTTGCAGCAATATGCTGAATCTAGTCCTGAAATGACTGCTTCAATATTAGTAACATCTTGTTTTGTGGCTTGCTGTGAACATGCATTGCTCTGTAACCGAGCTGTTCTGCCCCTCTCCTTGCATCTGATCCGTGCCCGTCAGTTTGCTGCTTCATCTTAGAAGGGGCACTGCTGCAAGTCTGTGCTACTACAAAACTGGTACTGGATGAGTTTGGGTTTAATACTTCTTGGTGCTCTAAGTATTTATACCTTTGAAGGTTTAGAAGAGAAGCAGCGAACATGATTCATAATGAAGGGACAGTCCTTATACGTGTAACTTGTCTTAGGGTATAATGTGGGAACAGGTTTTTAACAGACTTGCTTCTCACTTGTCATGGGTTTATGTTTTATACGGTTAATCTTTCCATGCAATTAAACTATGTGGATAAAAGAAGGGACAACCCTATGATTAAAGCCTGTCTGGTATCAGGGATAGGCATCCTTTTTCTGTATCATCACAGGGTCACTGGTAGGAATCAAATCTTCAACAAAATCTTCTTTTGCTGTTTCGTTAAGAATTATTCATTTGGAATCTGCTCTGTGCTGCCTATAGATTAAGTAAACCAGATGCTTATGAGACCTGTAATAGTTCTTTGGTGAATACCCTAATCCTGAGGTTGAGGTGGGGATTACTAAAATCCAGATAGGCAGAAATGTTTAGGCTCTTGAGAATGTGGGGTTTTTTTCCTTTTAAGATGCCCAGTCTGAACCAATCTAGCAACTCATGGTATCGCAGAATGTTAGGGATTGGAAGAGACCTCAAAGGATCATCTAGTCCAATCCCCCCTGCCGGAGCAGGACCACCTAGATCAGACCACGCAAGAATGTGTCCAGGCGGGTTTTGAACATCTCCAGAGAAGGAGACTCCACAACCTCTCTGGGCAGCCTGTTCCAGTGTTCTGTTCCCCTTACTGGGAAGAAGTTCTTCCTCATGTTTAAGCGGAACCTCCTATGTTCCAGCTTATATCCATTTCCCCTTGTCCTATCATTGGATGCCACTGAGAAGAGCCTGGCTCCATCCTCATGGCAGTCACCCTTTACATATTTATAAACATTTCAGAGAATGAATTGGCATCAACTGTTCCAAGTGAATGTCAGTGAAGTACAGAACTTGATCTCTCACCGAGAAAGAAAAATAGCCAGGCTAGAACTAGAGCAGGAAATCTTGGCAAGCACAACTGCATTTTCATAAGTTTGTCTTTAAAGAGTATAATTTGCCTAATGCACCTGTCCATATGCGAAGATAAGCCCTAATGTTTTCAAAGCAGAATTTGTTTAAGAGTCTGAACTTCTTTCTTTGGTCTCTCTAAATGTCCTTTCACGTATCCTGTGATTCAGTTATAATGCCAAGATGCTAACTAGTTCTTAAATCACAGAAAGCTCTTACTTCTGGTCTAGAGAGGCATTGCAGACAACAAACAGCTAAGTGGAATATCAAGTATTGTGTCTGTGGGGAAGCTTTGGGCTGAAGAGCTAACTGAAAGAGTAGAGGTTTGTGTTGGTTTAAACAGCTTCCTCCGAGTCTTCTTCATGTCTTCTCCTTACCAGCCCCCCAAAATTTAAAAACATGTGGTGGAGGTAGTGGTGGGGCAAAACGGATTTTACTGATTTTTTTTTTTTATCATAACTTGCTCCTGCCTTCGTACGCTGCAATTTAAAGCAGTCACCACACGCAGACTGACAACCTCTGCATTGTATCAAACCCTCATCTGCACACAGTTGAGTGTTTTTTTTTTTGGTTCTTGGTTGTTTTTTTGTTTTTAAGGGAATAAATATTTAAAGTGTGACTATTCTCTGAAAACTCAGCCTTATCTAGATACCAAAACATCTTCTGCTAGTCTTGCAAAATTTGCTTTGCTCTATAAACTGAACTGAGTGCCCTCTGGCTTTTTACAGTTAAAATTGGAATCAAGAATTGATGATAAATGTTGCAATAGCAGGCATTTGCTCTCCTACATATATATTGGATCTGAGGCACCAGTAATAATAGCGAATGTTTCTCTGGCAGTGAAAAAGCACATTTCTCTTTTTAAACCACACAGAGAGGAAGCTGCTTAAGCAAAAAAGTTTATAAACATGCTTGCATGACTAAGAGCTGTGTGAGTTTCTCTGTAGCAAAGGCTGTTTGTGTTTCCTACTCATTATAAGGAAATTGTTAGAGAGTTTGGTATCTAAAGATAAAGTAAATTAAACTCACCCTAGCTGACAGTAGTTACTTTGTCCTTTTACAGAATATCTTACTACCTGAATGCTTCTACTCCTTTTTTGACTTGCGGAAAGAGTTCAAGAAATGTTGCCCTGGCTCACCTGATGTTAGCAAACTTGATGTTGCAGCCATGACAGAATGTATCCTTTTACACAGTGATGGTGTCTACTGTTGTTACAGGTTTGGGTGAATTTTAGGATAGGGATGCAGGAGTAATGCTTGCAACACGTGTTTAGGGGTGGTATAACTTTAATGAGTGACTTGGACTTGTGCTGAGCATTCTAACAAAGATGAAGATAAAAACATACGAGGATGCATGCTCCCATGGGGAAAATCCTGTGTTTCTTGATTTCTGTACATTTTCTGTACTACCTTTGTAGTTTTGTCTCTTTAAAATTTACAGTTTAGTGTAACAGGCATATCTGTTCAAATCGCTGATATGAATCCTAATATTAAAGTTACGAGGTTGCTTCTCGCATCAATTAGATTTTTATTTTATTTTCAGGTAAGAGTCAATGTTGGGAGATCATCTTAATTTTCAGGAAGGGGAATGGTTATTCTTGATGTGAACTTGTAGTGAGTCTTTGATTCAGGAGTGAGCTTAAGGCAGGGATGCCGTTGGCACACGTGCTGTTTAGTCTCATGGAAGCTGTACATGTTGCACCTCGCAAGGTGACGCTGGGCTGGCAATAAGATGCAGTCAGTAACATTTCATTTCCATTTTCAGTGATAGAGATGTCTAAAATTATGGTCTAAATAGTCTTAAGTGCTATGTGACTTAGTCCTGTCTGGCTCTTTACTAGACTTAGCTAGGTTTTGTTTGCATGCCATGTACAATTACCAGAGCCAAAACTGGGGCTGTGAATGATTTGGCTGTACCTTCTTCCATGCTTCCCCAATGGCAGCCTCTCCCCTTGCTGCAGGCTCCAGTCCTCATCTCAAATGTACTCTCAGGCATGGAAAACACTTGACTTCCCTACTGACCTACTGAAGCTGTGACCACAAAAGCTAGCTAGTAAGGAGGGATAAAGGAATTTGGGAGTGTTTTTTAAAATATTTTTTATTGGATTATTTTGTCATTGTTTTTAATAACTTTTTTCCTTTGACTAGCTTATTGTGTCCATAGAGTGGTTGCCATTAGGAACTGATATTTTTCAGACTCAAGTCTGTAGCTTCTGAATAATTTTGGGCTTTTGCTGCAGGACTGCTGTTGTCTGGACTTTGTACCTGTGTTGGGGATGTTAAAATATCTATGTATGTATGGATTTTTTTTTTGTGTTTAACCATAAGGTTGAATACTGGAGGCTGTCTGCTCTGCTTTGCCATCTGCAAATTAAGATTAATCTCCCATAGTGAAGGGGCAGAAATCACTTCTCCCCCTACTTTGAGGTAAAGCAATACACTTAGTGTAGGAGTGTGAATTTTCATGTAGAAAAGCTAAATAAATGCTTGTGTTGCATAGCCTAGAAGCTGGATGATGGAGACTTCTTAAAGTTATGCTCAAAAGCTTAATACATTGTTTAGGGATGCTTTGACATGAGCAGGAGACGTTAAAGACACTGAGTTACTTCAACTGTTTTAGAGATGTCTTTTCTTTCTCCTTGTATGAATGTCTGGTGTACATCGTGCCACTGGAAGCAGTCATATAACTGTAGCCACCTGGAGTGCCACTGGTCAGTGACAGGCTGCGTACTCCCTGCCTGCTGGGAGAGGGGAGCCGACCACCCTGCGTTACCCAACTGTCAGGAAGCCCCTGAAGAGTTAGTACCATCTGAGGGTGGTTTTGGCAGTTGCCAACAGTATTTCCTCCAAGTTCCTAGAGCCTCAGTGAGTCTATCCAAATGCTCTCAGCTTGACTCCGAATTCTGGATGTGGTATGCTTCTTAAGGTATATAAGCCTAAATAACTTAGTTCTGGTTTAATATTAATCTTGTGGTTTGTCTGGTTTTGTAACTGCTGATGCTCTTATTTGTAAACTTGCTGTATTTGTGCAACATGGCTGAAACTAATTGTCTCTGCCCTATGTTGCTTGAGAGTGTTGTGGAGTGGAGAATGCAGAGACAAAAAAGGAAAATAATTTTTATTTTCCTTTTATTGACAAATATGATGACTTTCTTCTCGCCTTGCTGAAATGTGCCAACTTAATCTCCTTGGTGTCAGAAGCTGTATAAGTTAATTGCACTTGCAGAGTCTGGACATGCATGTAATGCTCGAGATAAAAAAAAAAAAAAATTGTTGAAGCAGGTGCTAAGTCCAAAGACTCGTTCAAACAGTTTTGTGCAGAGATTTTTTGCTTTCCTTCTTCATGTAAGCAGGATAGCTACTTTCCTCCTGAGACAGTTAGATAGAAGAGAAAATGTCTAAATGAAAAGCAACTTGGATTTGAAGTGGATATGCTGGTGTGGGGGACACAAAAACAAGTAAAAACAAACGGAGTAGGTTGAAACAAAGTTGTAGATCAATGCACAGAATCTGACCAAGCTCTTGATATTCTTGTAGAAAGCGCAGATCTTCCCCCTGTAGCTAAAGCGGCTGCATGAGGAGAATCTTTCATGACTTGTGCCACAAAAACTATACTGGCCCAGGTTCATTAGCATTTGATGGGGATAGAAGGTTTTGGTTAAAGGTAGAGTAATGACTAGAGGTGCAGAAGACTTGTATTTAAAAACTGGTAGGAACCGGAATAGAATGATTTGGGGGCACATCCCTTCATGTACTTATGTCTCCATTTACTTGTGTGTAAGATGGTTGTGATTAGTGAGAAGAAGCTTGTGTGATATGAAAGAGGTAGGGGAAAGCTGGGTATTATTGTACAGTCATTTAAATTATTAAAAGTCTTCCAAAAGCTTTTATTTTGATGGGTAACATTTGATTATCCATTTGCCTGTAATTTGTTGTTTAATGTACTCTATTGCTCCCAACAGTCAGGGGCGATAACTTCCTACTGCACAGTCATTCAAGATACATATTCCAGTGTATAACACACTGGATAGTTGGTGCTCAGCTATGTATTTCTTGCAGACAAGGCAAGCACAGTCTTGAAAAAGAGCATAGAGATATTAAGCCAAATAACTGGCTGGATTATTCTTCCTTTAGAAGGTACTGCTGGGACTTACTCTTTCAGCAAACTACTTAAAATTGTGTACAGCAATGAAAGCATTCCACATCCAAGAGCTCAGGTGGTGGAAGCTTTACATCTGTCGTGTATCCCCCCACACACACACCCCAAGAAATTATAAATTTCAGGTACTAACAGCCACTGATTTCTGTTAATTCAAGGTAATCAAATTTCACGGCATTTAAAACATTTTAGGGACCAAGAAAGAACTGAGACTAGTTGTAACTGTTACCCCTGAGTGCTGCTGCTGCCTAACTTACAGTCTCAAAACAGTTTTTGGTGTAGGAGACAGTCTTCTGGCAGACTTTCTTTAGTCAATATTGTGTAAGAGTTGTGACAGAAGAACAATTATGAGAAATTTTGAGTAACAAAAAGAACGTGAGAGAAGCGATCATGTTCTGGCAGAGAAAGGAACTCAGGTCTGTCGAAATCTTTTTTTTTTTTTAAACGTGTAAGTATACAAAAGGAGCAGGGCTGTTCTTGCACCCTCTGTACCTCCCATACTTGCTGCACTTCTCAATTTGCAAAGCTTGCTGAGCCAGTTTTCACTGCTGTGAGTGCCTTCAGGGTGGAGTGAACAAAGCTTGCATGACTATTCCTATTCGGTCTGCAGAAGACTCATCCTTTGCCTCAAGATTGGGTGTGCAGAAGCCATTAAATGGCAAATAGCTCTTGCTTCCTCCAGTGCTCCACTCACTTCTGAACTGGATTTGTGAGGGTAACTCCTTAATAGGAGTATCTACTGGATGTTGTCAGTAGAAATACAAGCATACTTCAGAACAGCCTGCTTATTTTGCTGGATACTGCAATACTGAAACTTGGTTGGTTTGGTTTTGTTGGGTTTTTTTTGACCTGATGTCTTGAAAACAATGATGTGGAGCACAGTTATAACCAATAGTACTTAACTCTGGCAATAAAAAGCCCATTATTGGGTATTACTGGAGAATCTTGCGTATTGCTGTTTGTGTTTCCTGTGATAGTACTCAGGAACTGGTTAATATCAGATTACCTTTCTGCAAAGTAGTATTTAAAAAGATGTAATATTCTGCCTGAAGAGACTTAAAAACAGAACAAAGGGGGAAGAAGATCAGTGCAGAACACAATTGCAATACTAGTTCATGTCGTGTTGTCTCAGAGCAAAGTTAGTTGTTCAGTATTTCTTTTGCATAGTTAAAAAAGGAGTTGAGAGACTGAGAAATGGAAGAGAGTGGGAGGGAAGAAGTCTTGGAGGGCACTGGCAGTGGGTGAAGCTGTGGTGATGAATCAGAGGGAATTATTTAGAAATTTATTCCATCTTATATAGTTGATCCTGATGTAGAATATGCCTTCTCCCCCTGCCCCCTTCGCTAACTTGCTGAGTGGTGCAGGAGGTGGTACCACAGCTGTGCAGCAGCATTAAGAAGTTCCTTGTTTCCCATCCTGCCTTGTAATTCAGGAGTGTCTCTTGCCCATTGCTTCATTTAGAATAATATATGTGCATGCTATTGCGTATAGTAGCTTTAGACAGCCAGGTCTGTTTTCTAACACATCCTCAAATGTGAACTTGGGTTTATCCATTGCAATCAACTCCTTCCAATTGCCCAGGAGAGGCAACCTTTAAATATCACTGTACACAATCACATGTGTAGTCTCCTATCCCTTCACAGAACAAGACGTGGGTTTTATAAAGACTATTCCATTATCAGCTTTTTCCAAAGTATCCATAGTTTCTAGTGCCTCCGTTGATAGCAGTTTAGCTTTATGTAGTCAGTCCCATTCATTAGAACTCAGCTTAGCACTTATTTAATGTTATTGTTAACATGCTCCTTACATGTGCAGAAAACTACCAATTTTCTTCTCCAGTCTTGCCTAAAAGCCTTGCTTCAGAGCTAAAAGTGTGAGTGACTTCTCATTCCT